TAATTATGATAAAAGAAATAACAAGAAAAAAGTGAATAGAAAAAGAAGAACACAAAGAAAAACAAATAAAAAACAAGGTAAATATAATGAAAATAAACATTATACAAATAAGAAACCTAAATGGTTGACAACAAAAGAAATTAAAATGAAAATTAAAAGAATAACAAGAAAATGGGAAAAAGGAGAATACGAAGAATTACTTAAAAAGTATGAAGGTAAAGAAAAGAAATGGCATAATATTCTCCAAGAAGTATATTCAATAAGGAAGAAGAAAACACTAGAGAAAAACAAAGAAGAATTCAAAGATAAAACAAAAGATTGGACAAGTGAAGATATTAAAACAATCGAAGAATGAATCAAAAACAAAAATCGAAACAAAGAAATGAATGATAGATGTAAATATGCAAGAATAATAAATGAAAAAGAAAATAAAAGGAAAACACAAGATAAAGAAGAGAAAAAGGAAGAAGAATGCAACAAAAAAGAAATCAACACACTTCAAAATAAAATTAAAGAATTAGAAGAAACTATTAAAGAACTTCAAACAAAAAAGATGGAAGAAGAACGAACCATTTCAGATGAAATAATTCAAAAAGCACGAGATACAGTCAGGAAAGAGTTTGAAGAAGAAATAGAAAAGATTCAAAGACAAATGAACAATATTCAAACTACATGTAATGAAATAAGAAAAGAAAACTCTAAATTAAAATAATAAAATAATACATTACAATGAAAAATAAATGAAGCAAATGGTAGAAGGATCATAGAACTAGGAGGTAAGGATGAAATCATCCGAACCCTCCGAGCTAGCTATGAGAGGCTGAAGAAGGAGAAGGACGAAGTCCTTAAGGGTGGTGAGCTGGAGAAGAAGAAGGCTGATGAGCAGGAGAAGAGTGCTGAGTTGCTAGAGAAGAACATAAGAGATAAAGAAAATCAAATCTCTGTATATCAAAAAAGTGGGATTGAAAACTATGAGATGAAGAAAAAACAAAAGAAGAATTAGACCATACACAAAGAGAAAATGAAGAACAAAAACAATTAATATCAAAACAACAAGAAAGTATCGAAAATTTTTTATCCCAGAAGGAACTGGAGAAGAAGAAAACAATGACTCTAGTGATAAATACACAACCAATATTGAGAACATCATCATCTGGGACAATACAAATGAACCAAACTACAACTATGAAAAAGACAATTCTGGAAATAGAAGAGAGCAAAACACTGAGTATCAAAAAACAAGAAATGATAATCAAACAATAATAAAATAAAACACAACAAATCAAACAAATAGAATTTTAATTGATGTATTGTATTGTTTTGCAATTAATTTGTTAAATAAGAAATTAAATAAGAAATTAAGATGGGAACAAATAGAAAGCATAATAAAAGTAATAAACATTAATGTAAATAATGAGAAAGAATACATTAATAATATTAAAAAGTCACATAGAATAAAAGAAACAACTAAAAGATATATTAAAATGAAAGTGAACTCCATCATAGAAGGGAAAGTAGAGTGTAACCCAATAATAAAAAATATTATCATAAAAAATAACTCTAATGATATTGATGATGAATATCTTAACTCTATCATCACTCAAGTTAAAGGAATGAAGATAGATAAATGTGTAAATATTAATTACTACTGGAAAAGGAAAGAATCAGATAAATTAATAAGAGAAATAAATAATAAATGGGTATGGTCAGGAGAATAGAAAATCTGCAAGAAGATATGAAAATGATTTCAATGTGTATGCATTACTATCTCCAAAATAAATTTATAGGAGATAAATTTGATGAAATAAAAGAAATCCTAAGGAAAATAAATAGACTAGAAGATCTAGTCAAGGGAAGGAAATGGTACAGAATAAAATGCATCATGAGATTAAAGGAACAAGATGCAGATGAAATTAAAATGAAAGCACAAGAAAGAATAAAGTACATAAAATATATGATGATAATGATTAAAGAAAGAATTAAATTTAATAAGAATGAAATTATCAGAATCAATACAAATAAAATCATGTTTGATTCTAATAACAAAATTAAAATAAAGAAGAAAAACAAAATGAAATATACCCAAATAACGATATTACTTTAGAATATTGGAAATTGTTATATGAAACACAGGTGATATTAAATAAAGAACATTTGAAAATAAATCAAATCACCTCGTGGAATGAAAGATACAGGAATTATAATAATGTCATCATCACATCTGATGATTTAAATCTAAGCCTGATGAAAATAAGTAATTGGAAATCACCAGGTATTGACACTATATATGGGTATTATTGGAAGAGAATGTCATCATCAAGAGAGTCCATTCTTAATATCTTCAATGAATGGTTAAACTTCAATGAAAACATCCCTCTAGATATGGTAAATGGAAGAACTATACTAATCCACAAAGGAGGTGATAGGAACGATGTCACTAATTATCGTCATATCAGTTGTACAAATGTAATTATGAAAGTATTTACCTCAATATTAAAAGAGAAGATTCACAATAGAATTAACATGAATAATGAATCATTAAAAATTAGTAAAAATCAATTATGATATAAACTGCAATCTCTTGATGATAAAGAACGATTAATTAATAGTTATATGTTAAAGCAGCAAAAAGAAGAAAAATACCCAAAATATGTAGAGTCATATTATGACATTAAGAAAGCATATGACTCAGTAAATCATGAATGGGTAATAGAAGCACTTAAATATTTTAATGTAGAGGGTGTCATCATAGACATTGTAGAAAGTATGATGAACAGATGGAAGATATTCATAGGATATAAATATAATGAATATCTAGGATGTATTAAACTGAAGAGAGGAATTTTACAAGGTGATTCCTTATCCCCTCTACTCTTCATCATCCAAATGAATATAATTTCTCAAATCATAGAAGAGAAGTTCCCAAAAGCAAACCATACATTGTATATGGATGATTTGAGAATAATGACACTAAGTAGTGAAGAAATGGGAACAATCCACAATGAAATTAAAGAAATAATAAGTGGAATAGGGATGGAAATGAAAATAAATCAGGAATGGTATTAAAGAACATTAATAAAATACCAGATTGAATGCAAAACATCCCAATAATTGAAGGAGAGGACTTGTATAAATATTTAGGAGTATGGTAGTCAGATGAAATTAATGATACCTTCAATTGTAAAATCATCAAAGAAAAGATGATGAAGAAAATGGAAGAAATAAATAGTGATGAAAGTAGTAATAGAAGTTATATTACAAGAATTAATACTGAAGTAATACCCATCTTCAGATATTCAGCATCAGTAGTAAATTGGAAGGTAACTGACCTAGATAGAATGGATTTGGAGATAAGAAAATATTTAAGAAAGGCAAAATACATTGGTGCCGGTAACTCCAAAGACCGTCTATATGTCCCTATAAATGAAATTGATGAATGATTAATAAGCCTAATTGACGAATATGGTAATGAACTAATTAGAACAGTAATGTACTATTGTACAAGAGAAAGTGAAATAGGAAATAACATATTAGATAGATGGTATTCCAAGAAAGGAATATGGAATAGAATTAAAAAAGCCCTAGGTCATAAAATCACAGAAACAAAAATAGAAGAAATAATAAATGAATTTATTGAAAATAAAAAAGAAGTAGTATTAAAAATAAAGAAATTAATGACCGACCAATACATCAAAAAATGGAAATCAAACAAGTTGACATTTTAGAAGATGGTTCGAGTCAAAAGGGGTAGATAAAATTACTACAATAAATGCATGGAAGTCAATCAATATAAAGAAAAATTCATTTCTCCAATTAACTAAAATGCAAGATGGAGTAATATTTAGTGGGTACAGGAAAGATAAAATATTAAAAAATGAAAGATTGAAGTACTGCACACTTTGTAAATACAAGACATCAACAGTAGAACAAATTCTACTATCTTGCATTGGTCATAAGAAATCACAGATGGAGAAACATGACCATATTGGCATTATCATATGGGATAATAAGAAAATATAAATGAAATAAACAATACAAGAAATCCCCATATGAAACAGTGTTCCAATACAATGACATTACTATGATATTGAACAAACAAATAATGCCAAAAAGTGATGGACTATATCATAAAATACCAAATATATATGTACTAGATAAAAAGAATAAAACTGGTCTAATATTTGATATGACTATTGTGGCAGATCACAATATTAATGGAGCCTATTGGAAGAAAAGAAATATGTATAAAGAATTGAAAAATAGGCTAATGAAAATAGAGAAATTAAAGGATGTCAAAATAATTCCAGTAGTAATTTCGATTAATGGGCTAGTAAATGCGGAAAGTATTAAATTAATCAAACAATTAAAAATCGAAATTGACATCACTAAAGAAATCAAAAACCTTGTAATTAAAAACATGATGGACGTCATGGAGCACTGTGGAGATCACAACCAAACATATGTAGTTGAACTACAAGACGAAGATTCAGGGATGGGATTAGTCTCCGCTGAGCAAGGAACAATAGACACAAGTTCTATTAATACTTAATTAACTACTTTTTATTTTTATATTTTATCTTCATTTAAATAAAATAGAAAAGAAATAAAGAAGATAAGAATAATGAAATGAAATTATTATTTAAAATTGTTTTGAAATATATTTTA